GAAAATGAGAGGTCTCTACCTATGCTGTATGGACAGGCACTTTTTGACAGAATTCTTCAATGTTGAAGTGTCCAGTAGGATTTTTTGAAGTGTTGTTTTTGAAAACTTTTATTTTGGGAGACAATATTATTTTTACCCAGCAAAAGAGAAAATTTTGCTTGATCAGAACACTGAACATCTTTTTCTTGGCTTAAATGCACAACAGTTTTTCAACCCACCAGTTTTATGCGATGCCCTTGGACAAAATATCCTCCATCGAGTCAAATGAGAGTATGACGTGCGGCACTGGACACTGCCAGTAGACATTCGTTCAACACACCTGCCAAACTAACGTTGTGTTATAAAAATTATGGTGTTGGCCACTCATCTACGCACAATAAGATGGTCATAACATACCCACAATACAGACGTCATGTATTCTGCTGACTATATCGCTAGCAGAAGGGGAGGGGGGATTTTGAAAACAGACCAAACCAGATTATGTAAACCAATATCCGTTCAACTGAACTGCACTGAACAGCTAGCTCGTTGTCATTACGGTTACTGTTGGTAGACCCGAAACTATTCTCGTTTTGCACAAGTAATACAATCGAAATCATTCGAGCCCACAGATATTTAACCAATAAAAATAAACAATTTGAAACTGATACCGTAAAATCGTAAACGCACCCAGTCGTCCGGTAAATCCAGCATGACACATTAGACAGTTCACATTCACATTTCAAAACCAGCAATTCCACCGGTTTGGTACCACTTCAAATATGTACCGGGAGGGAACGTTGCTTCTCCTTCAAGAGTTCCGATATAAGTAAGAACAATAACAACGAAACCTCGTGTGTCACATTCAACGATGAAATTCAGATCTGCTATTGCACATTTCAAAATGCCGTTTTGTTTATTTAAATATAAAATACTTGTCACACAGACCGGTTAATGTGCTGCAGTACGCAAGGTAAATTCACAATCCTGCCTGCTTTCTATTGGACTGATATGAGCTTCTGATCTGCATAACAGCTAGTCCAAGCAAAGAAAAATTATTATTTTGTTAGCTCAGATACTTAAACATTTCATCTTATTATATAGAATATTTTTTTCATCGCTGACCTCCAGGATTGTGCAATACAACTTTCATAAACGCTTGTTGCCTGAGAAAAATGAACAGGTTGTATTTGGACCACCCCTCATTGGATCACACCACCATATCCGCTCAGTTTCCATAAAGTAATGATCAGATTAACAGTGGAGAGCGGGAAAAAACAGTAAGTTTACAACTTCTTGACAAATTTGCTCAGCATCAGTGGAGCAGCATCTCCTCTCCAGTAGGGAATAAAAAAATACGCCACACAAGTGGAGACAGTGGGACAACATTCAGGAGTGAAAAGCTACAATGCATCGAAGGTTGAGAATGGTAGCCGCCGGATGACTGTGACTCCGGCTTGCCAACTTGTTCTGGCATCGGCTCAGAGCTCAGGCGCAGTCAACCAGCAGCTGGCACTCGCGGGCCTTGGATAAGAAGTGTTCAGACATGGCACTCATTCAAAAACTTTTCTCCTCCCTCCAACCCCTACGCTCAAAACAAGGATGGCATATTCCTGTGTTACTAGATGCTTTGTCTGAGAAACTCCCCTCCAGTTGAGGAGTAGTATCGTCAAAAGAGCATTACCTCTTTGAGCGAGAACACGCCATTAGAGAAGCCATCTTCTGATTCTGAGATTTTACCACAAAACCCTGTCACTACAGGAAGTAAATATACACAGATTTACATCATGGCGTCACATAGGAACGTGGACGAAACGCGGATCGAAATTGTTCTTGGAAGTCTTCCATCGTTTCCCTCGGAAAATTTGCCGTGAATGTTCTCAAGCGGAAATGGCAGCGCTATTTTCATGTGTGTGTCCTTGCACACGAGATAACACGCAGACGACTGTTTGATTTTCAGTTTTTTAGTCGCTCGATCATACATATGGAGCCGCCCGGGGGACGCAGACGGCGATGCACATACGGACAGAAGGGCAGCCTGGTGCGCCGACAGTTGGCACTCAGTACCCGGGCTGCCAGCCAGCGCCATCTGAGCACAGAACGGAGAGAGCGGGCTTTGTGGCCGGCAGCGGGCGCCAGAAACTCCATGTTTTTGGCTCAATTTGCCTTGGAAGCCTCAATAAGCGAGAGAGTGAGAGAGCGAGAGAGAGAGAGAGAGATCTCCTGTTCTGCAAGAAGGGGCAAGCAGAGAGCGGAAATCATCAGAATGCCAGAACATGTGTGGGGTTGGCACCAGATGAGGATGTCTTGGCAAGCTCCCTGCTTCCCCCCCCTTGCCCCGGCCCGGAACACATGGCATGTGGATGGCATCTGGCTGCGTCGACTCTCAGCAGCTGCGCTTTGTCAGTGCCAGTTGGGACACTTGGCACCACTACTCCATCAGCTACCTGTGGCTGCCCAGGGTGAGGATGGGAGGGGGTGAATAATTTTGAGCCACAGCTGCAAATTTGACTGGCTTCCAAAACATACAGTACAGCATATGCGGAAATGCCTTACTCTGCTCGTGTACTTAATCTACACGTGTGCTCGTGTACTTAATCTGTCACTATACCCAATGGGCAGACCAAGGATGCTTCCTTCACGTGGTTATTTGTGTAAGAAATTGATGTACAATGCGGTAGGACTACAGATGGATAAGAAGAACCTCTCCGTAATTTGGAATAATGCCAGTCTCGACGCTGTCTTAGGTTGCACTAGAAATCCCCGCAGATTAAGCATTTCCAGGATGAATCCTGAGAAGAATGAATAGCTCATTATTAGAAGTTCTGCAGCAATGACAAGTGACCATGTTATTGACTTTTTTTCCATAACCTGCTGAGGCTGAGCTTGAATGCTAAAACAAAATTAAATCACAAACTGGAATTATGAGAAATGAGCCAGGATCAGTTCATTTTGGGAGGAGCTGCCTAACCATGCTTAAGGAGATCAACCAATAAGACTTTTACTCCAATCCTACCGAAGCACACTTCATTCAGCAGCTAGGTCTGATCTGAAACATCTCAGTATTACCAGGTGAAAAGGTTTGCTGTGAGAACATAAAATACATACTTAGACTTAGCCCTTTTCTCCTCCCCATGGGGAAATTCACCTCAAGGGATCTGCACCGTTCAGGCGACAAACACACACATCAGGGTTAAATAACATTCAGTGCAGAACATCCGACAGCAGCACAACACTTAGCAGCAGAATCAGAGAAGCCAGCAGCCGCATCCAAACAGTCTGTTCAGCGGGACTGCAGAGATTTAGGAGACTTCCTAAACTTCAGTGTCCTGTACCTGCACCTAGAGGGCATCAGGGTGAGGTGTTGGTTGAGAGAGTGCGTAATGTCCTGTTCTAGTGAGTTTGCAAGGCGTGTGATGGACCTATTGTTTAGCTCTATGACGTTTGTTTGTGGGTAGGTGGATTAACTTGGCAGTGGTGCTTGTTATTTGTGTGAGTTTGGACCAGTTAGTGACTAATAGCGTGGTGAAGAAGCGGGTGGAACAGTACAGTAAAATGGGCTGAATGATGCTCTGGTACCGTAGGAGGAGGAGATGAGGGGCGACATAGAGTCCTTTAAGTTTCCTGATGGCGGACAGTCTTGGGCGGCTTCTTTATTGGATGTCATTGATGTGCTGGTTAAAACTGAGTTTATTGTCCAGAGTTACTTGGAAGTATTTGAAACTGTCCACTATTCCAACTGTCTGGTCATGGATGTGAATGAGGTGTTGTGATGATGGGGAGCCGATAATCATTTCTTTGGTTTTACAAACATTAAGATGAAGATGATTATTCTCACACCAATGGGTGAAGTTTGTGACAATGTTATGATAGTCCAGAACAGACTTCAGTGAGGAGGGTGAGAATGGCCGTGTCATCTGAGTATTTGAGGTAGGTGGTGGTGGGTGAGGGGCTGTTGCAGTCATTAGTGTAAAATATATCAGGAATGATCTGAACACACAACCCTGTGGTGCTCCGGTGTTGGTGGTGAGCGCAGGTGATGTGGTTGAGCCCACTCGAATGGCTTGCTGTCAGTCGCTGAGGAAGTTGTGGATGAGGTGAGCGAGACGGGGAGAGTGTTGAGCTGGTGGAGCTTCTGGATCATCAGGTGCCTTTGGATTTGTATTAAAAAAAGAGCTGAAGTCCACAAAGAGGATCTCAGTGAAGTTGGTGGTGCTGGCGATGCTCATGCAGAATTTTATATTACCTGCAATGACGGAAACCCCGTCATTCAGATTACCACCAAAAATACTCTAGTCAATACAGTACAAATCTGATTCATAGAAGCATCAACAAGGTTTCGCTAAAGGCAGCTATTTCCTCAAACTACTCCTTGCTCAATATATCTTTTTCAAAAAAGCATACTGCAATGTTTTGCATTTACTCTACTTTGTAATGGTTGCAAGATGGTGCAAAAGAAAGCACCCACCTCTTCTTCTATGGTGCCTCCAACATCAGTGACGGCTGGTGTTCGGAAAACAGTGGAAGCAGAAAAAAAAATCCCTTCTTCTGTGTTCAAACATTCTTCTTTATTAAAAAGTTTTCCAACGATTTAAACAATCTATCAGCTGGTAAACACACAGCTTCTTTCTTCATGCAATGTTGTGGTGATTTAATAATAAATTCATATTTGTTGCCTTGTTTTAAAAAACTGTTTTATTCACAAAGTACTCTGAAGAAAAAAACTATGCTGTTAACTTCAGTGTAGGCTCCTATCTATGCTTCACAACTGTTTAAATTAAAACAAAGAAAACAAGGATTAGCAACAGTTATCCACAATGTTGAATGACTTTTACGGTGGCTGACAGGGGCAAACCACCATAAAAATGTGCAAAATATTATTATTAACAGGAGTATTGCTACTCCTGTTCATCGCAGTTTACCCCCCCGGCATTTCGTTGAGTTTCCCTGACAATTTGCTGGTGCCCAATCATACACAGTGGGAATGAAGAGTTTTTCCCCAGAACATGCTGCAAACACTGTGGCAAGGATTCAAACTCAGGACCTATTGATTCCAAGTCAAGTGCACTTAACCACTGTGCTACCGTGCCCCCACATAACATGCTTAAACGTGCAGCAGGACTGTTGGTCTCATTTAAAAATGAGTCCCTACTTCAACATGTTTTTTGAGGTCAGTAAGGGCCAGATGCATCAATGTGATGTTCAGTGAATGGACCTACCCTCTCCCATCACCCATAGCTTGACTCATGCCAACCTGAAGTGGTGCAGGTGATGGTCATAGATAATCATGGCTGACCTGACGGCCCATTCAGGATCAAAGTCTCTCTGCTAAGTTTATGTTGCGTTCAAGTAAATTCCAACAGTAACATCAACTGCTAAGTATACTTTTTGCATCGATGCGTGACATCAGTCATGTTGGAGATACAATGAGTTATGAAGTATCTCCTACTCGCCTAAATGTGTTAAAACTTTCTAATTCACCAGAACTTAATGCAGTGAAAAATGCATTCACTGGCTCTCACGTTAGCCTCAGCGTAACAAGGCGCTGAAACCCTGGGAAGGACAGTGGGTTTTGACCAAAGTGCTGCTGTTTTCAAGCCATCCAGAGATTCTTAAAGTTTCCGAGCCACGGGTTTGGCTCCACTGGATTTATGGCTCCATTACGGCTCAAAGACTGTTTTTTATTTCTTTCTGCTGAAGGTGACCCGCAGGGATATTGCACTCCATCTGTAGCAGGCTGACCCAGTTTACCCCGCGGCCACATCCAACTGTTCGGTGTCCCAAACATATGTGCTCTAGCAGGGGGATAAGCCATCATCAGCGCAGGACACTGCTGAACGCGCAACTCAAGATATGACACCGGACCCGACGCGCGTCTGTCTCCCGTCAGCATATGTCACGGGCGCCCACAGGAATTGCATGCTGGAAATGGATACAAGAAACACCCCAGCACTGTGCCAGAAATCATTAATGAGAGCCTGTGTGTGTTTGTGGGTGTCCGTGTCTGTTTACTGTATGAGCGTTCGAGCGTAATATCTCTTTGTGCATGTGTGAATGAAAGTGGATGTGTATACTATATCTGAGTGTGTGTGATAGGGAGTGGGTATGCAGGCGTGTGTGTCTGTGTACTGCATGTTTATGTGATTTGAATGTAATGTGTTTGCCTGTATGTGCGTTCGAGAGAAGACGTGAGTGTGTGTTTGAGAGTATGTGTGTGTGTATGTGTGTGTGTGTGAGTGTTAGGGTGTGAGTGTGTGAGCGCGTGTATATATGTGTGTGAGTGCGTGATTGCATGTGTGTGAGCGCGCGCGTGTGCTTTTGTGTGAGAGTGTGATTGCACGTGTGAGTGAGCGCCCGCGTGTGTGCTTGTGTGTATGCGTGTGTGTTTGTGTGTGTGAGTGAGTGAATGTGTGCTTGCATGTGTTTGAGTGTGTGAGCGCATGTGTGTGCTTGTGTGTGATTGCATGTGTGTGTGTGAGCGCGTGTGAATATGTGTGTGAGTGTGTGCTTGTGTGTGTGAGTGTGTGTATGTGTGTGTGAGTGTGTGTGTGTGCTTGCATGTGTGTGAGTGTGTGTGTATGTGAGTGTGAGTGTGTGCTTGTGTGTGTGAAGGCGTGTGTATGTGTGTGTGAGTGTGTGCTTGTGTGTGTGAGTGTGTGAACGCGTGCTTGCATGTGTGTGAGTGTGTGTGTACGTGAGTGTGAGTGTGTGCTTGTGTGTGTGAGTGTGTGAACGTGTGCTTGCATGTGTGTGAGTGTGTGTGTACGTGAGTGTGTATGTACACCAGGCCTCAAACATCAAGGCCTGACCTATAGAAAGCAGTGGCTTCAGCTGACTCCATCCCCAGACTGATCTGTGGCACAGTGATCAGGAAACTGACAGATGGTGATTTTTGGCACAGAAAAATATAAAGCAGGGATCTGGCTGGGCAGAAGCACAGCTTACCAGCCTGGCCATTAGGACTGGAAGTTTCAAGAACCCCCTGCATGCTGTGTCCGGATGGTGCCAGCTCAGAGGCTATCGCCATGCGGAACCGCGGGTATGTGACTGGCGTATGGGAATGTAATGGTGGGCTACGGAGAGCTCTTCAGGGTCCACTGCTGCTCCGTTTATGGGGCGTGTAACTCGGCTGTGTGTGACCTTATTCCACAGATGCGGCTCAATGTGAACGGACACGGTGGTGTGTCTGATGACTACACTGGGGCAGAGATTAAGAGACACTTGATAAATGGATAAATGGAGGGGAAGGGAGTAACACTGAAGGTGATCGCTTCGGCTCCTCCATTAGCCTGCATGCTGACGCTGGGCTGGGTTTGCGGGTCAGTAACAGCCGGGAGTCTGGCTGCGGTCGGCGATAGGTTCCCCCACTAACGAGTTATCGACCCCTTCTTTCCTCCTTCAACTTCCATCCCTGGCAACAGAAAACAATCCGATTGGAAGAGGCAGGTAATTAAGACTTTGCCAATCTGACTCTGGGGCTGTATTAGGTCTCTCAGAACTGGGGCATTACTCCCCACCGTGATAAAGATCTGTCATCTCAGCCTCTTTAAACATGGGATTTTCAGCTTCCAAACATGCAATATATTACACTGAAGGTTTCCGTAAACTATCAAAGTTGTGTCTTGGCTTTGTATCCCTTGTGTAAATATCACTTGCAAAATATAATCATACTATAAAATTGGGAAAATGCTGTCCATCAGTCTGAATCCATTTTTCTCCGCAATTCGCCAATCAATCTGTAACTGCACATGGACATCGAGCATTATAATTAGCAGGGACTGACAAAATCTGATTTGTCCATTTTCCCAAATTTAAGCTGTTTACAAGCAAATTTAATGTGCTCCCAAGCATTTTTGGCAAGTCTATATGGAGGTGTGATGCGCGGATGTTGACTAATATCAAAAATTTTGCCGATATATTTTTTGTAGATAGATTTTGTGTTTTTTGCATGTTTGGTGTTCACATGTGGTTTCTAAATGTGATTTTTTTGTGTGGGATGTTAATTCTGAGGGTTTCCTGTTTGTTAACACACTGCTACTCCATATTATACAGACACAGATGAAAGAAGCTGACATTGCCCCATTCACTCACATTATATTCAACCCCCCCCCACTTCTGTCATCTTACTCAGTCTGGCATCTGTCTGTCTCTCTCTCCCTCCTTCTCATCCATCCATCCTCCTGGTGTTATCTCAGTCTCTATCCTCACACTCATACCCTGCCAGGTCGCCACGCTGCAGCGTTCACAAAGAGACGGCGCCATATGCCGTCTCGACTCTTCAGGAGGGAGTGGCAGCCATGATTGGCTGTGGCGGTGAGGAGCTCTCCAGAGGATTATGGGTATTTTCTCAGTCCAGCGGCCAGAGGGGGAGGAGAGGGATGGGGGGCAGTCTAAAGCCGCTTTCACACCGGACGCGAAACGGATTTTTCACACGACAGATTACATTCAAAGTCAAAGCAAAAACGCGAATACACGCATTTGTGTATTCGCGTCTTTCATTCACTCATTCATTCATTACGTTTTATTTCCAGAGGGTAGCCCTTTCAGTTAGAAAACATATTTACAAAGGGGCCCTCCATGATAAAAACAATACAAGAAAAACATACAGAATTACAACAAAAATACAGTAAAATAACAATACATATAATCACAAATCGGATATCAGATTTAAGAGGTATAATTAAACTGATTAAGTTACTGCCACAAAGGTATTATAACCGGTCAATAGTGGAGAGAATTTTGCATTTCATCTTAAAAGAAGATAATGATACTGCACTTCTTACACAAAGTGGGATATTGTTCCATAAGGTTGAACCATAATACTGGTATGACTTTTTAATATGCTCAGTTCTGGGTTTAGGTACATGCAAAGGGCAAGTTACAGCATATCTTGTAAGTAACTTTGCGTTACTTGCGTCTTTGCGTTGACTTTGAATGTAATCTGTCGTGTGAAAAATTTGTTTCGCGTTCAGTGTGAAAGCAGCTTAAGACCCCCACCCCCCCACAACAGGGTGTCACTCTCTGGGCTCTGTGTCATACCGCGACAATTGTATGTATTTGGGTGGGACACTATTAAAAAGGGCAGTTCACTCAATACAGATGTAATTGCCTAGAAATTCAGTGTTAAATGCTTTTCTCTGGAGCATGCAGTCAAAAAGCAAACTTTCACTACCTAATATTACGTACTGCACTATATCTACTGATTTTCTTCAGTCATTGTGCTTTGCCTTTATCTATTATCCATTATCTCAGTGCTTTTGTTCCAATTTTGTGTTGAAGAAATTTAAAAAGAGATTACAGGCTGCTGAAAGAGAGTAAGAAAGCAGAAGCGGCGCTTCATGTGAACAGTATTGTGCGCTGATGTGGCCTCCATAAAGAATGATTGTAAAGGAATGCTGCTGTAAAGGCTCTCAGCCCTGGGAAATCAGAACACTGCAAAAGTTAGGGATTTTTTTTCTTTCATATGAAAATTAGCATGTTTACTCTGTCATATCATAACAAAGCACAACAAAAGGAAAATATGATTGTTTGAAAATGATTTTTTTTACAAGAGCACATCGCCGAGCCAGTTTCTCCTCCATCAGTCAATTTCATTCCTCCCGTAGTGCTCTCTCCTGCTCGGCTAATAGAGAGGGAGAATGATAATAGCTCTCAGTGTTGACCGTGACCTTGTTGGCATCAAAGCTTGCTGTGTTTTGTGTGCTTCAAGTGTGACCCTGTAGTTAGAGAGAGAGAGAGAGAGAGAGAGAGAGATGGACCTCTCCTTCTAGCCATATTCAGTGTGTCAGCAGGAGCCTGTTTGGCCCTTTGTTACAGCTGCTAAGGTCAAAGCTCCTCTCATAAACAAGCACAGAGGCTGTGAATATGCTGTTGACCTTGCGCAGAGGAGCCCTGTCAGTGCATTCACAATGAAGAGAACAATACGCCTCGGAACAGAATAACTGCCAGATGATAGCAGCCGCTAATATTTAGCACTCTCAGCGTTCAATTCCTGAAGAGCCTCTCAACTTTCTTGAACTATCTTTCTCTATTGTTTTCTCAAAGGGCACACACTGGATGTGTGTATGCATGTGTGTGTGTGTGTGGGGGG